GGACTGGTCAGGAGCTCTCGGGACTGTGACCCGCTCCCGCCAAGGTTCCTGGATCAGTGTCGATGACGGCGGACTCGAGAGACTTGATCCTTTTGTTTAGATGACTTTTCTTTTCAGCCCCCATGGGTTTCAAGTTTCATAGTGAAAAAACAGTAAATGCTAACGCGTTAGCTATTATTCTCATCCTGATGACAAAATCCTTTTGAAGTAAAAATTCGAGAAGTCACTTATTGAACACTGAACCTAGGAGACACCCCGCCTCTCCCCCCACAAAAAAAACATACACACATTGAATTTCTGGTCGAGGACCCATCAGAAGTGCAGTACAACACTCCTAATTAGAATGTAAGTCAAGGCCACTGTGGGATTTATGTCTAAAAACCGTAAGTACAGCTTTCTGACAACATGCAGGCCGAATGAAACAGACTCTCGTGCAAAGCGCAGGTCTGGTCTTGACGGGAGGAAATCCAGTCTCCTGATGAGTTCATCTTGCTTATTGACTAATGTTTTGCAGCTAAGAACGTTCAGCCAAAAAACAATTCTGCCTATCAGCCTTTAGTCGGCACGGAGGGCGAAGAAGTCGACAAAGAGGGTTTGGAAAACCTGCCCGTCAAGGTACACGTGGCTGTCTCCTCCTTGCGGGGCAGGGCGGTTCATGGGAATGTCATACCCTCTGATGAATCTGAGCAACTGACACAATTCACACAAGGAACGTACGCATTGGAACAGAGATGACAGTCTCCTGTGCTAGGAGTCCCCGAGACCACCCTCAGAATGAATGATTCGCTAGAATGACTCACAGGACTCAGAAAAGCTTTTATGCTCGTGGTTATGGTTTATTTCAGTGAAAGGATACAGGTTACCTTCAACGAGGAAGAAGGACACACGGGGCAGGGGCCAGCAGAAAACAGGCGTGAGCTTCCTGTTGCCCCCTCGCAGAGGCGTGAGGACATGGGTGGCTTAAGTTAAGTCTCCCAGCAGCTATGCAAGACAACATGGAGGGAGTTTGCCAATCGAGGAAGCGGACCCAAGCCTCGGTGTCCAGGGTTTTTATTGGGGGTCAGTCACATAAGCAGGAAGCACCCTTGTGTCTGACATGACTCGATCTCCAGCACCCACAGAGGTCAAACTGAGGCAGTGTGACCCAGGGCTCCAGGCGCACAAGGACAGGCATCACCCATCAATCGCTTTGTTTGCACAGACTCTCGGGCATGACCAACCCAAGTCCCCACGTGTGCACGGACACTCACATCAGGCAGCACATTCCGAAGGCTTGGAGGTTCTGATCCAGGGGCTGGTTCTGGGCCAGAGTGAACCACTGTGGGATGTGCAGGGTTTGGACAACCTGGGTCTGCTGAGTTAACCCTTTCTTGCACAAATCCCAGGGGTAGCGCTTAGAGCTAGGATGTAAACATTTAGCCTGGTCTGTGCTAAATGATATTACGCTTACTGCTCTGTGAATATGCCCCACCCACCAAGACCAAAATAAAGCCTGGTTTGTTGCAATTTTCAGCCTAGAAAAACTCTCTCTGGACTTTTCCCAGGTCAGTTTATTCAAGTGTGGCTGTGTTGGGCAGTTAACAGACGAGTCAGGCTTTGGGTTCAGAGCCTGGGTCATTTTATTTATTTATTTGTTATTTATTTTTTTTTTATTTTTTAGGTGAGGCTACCCATGGTTGACCTCACAAGGACCTTGTCAGCTTACAATCCTTTATGTTTTATTTTTTACGCCTCCAGCACCTGGCCTTCCTAGGTGGTCTCCCATCCAAGTACTCACCAGGCCCGACCCTGCTTAGCTTCCGAGATCAGACGGGATCGGGCTCGTTCAGGGTGGCGTGGCCGTAGACGAGTCTGGGTGGTTTTAGCTCCCGTGCGTGACCCGCTAGTACCTGCCCTGTGGCTGCGGCAGCCTCCTCGTCAGGAAGCGAGATCAGAACATGGCATTGGGGGGGGAGCTCACGTGCGCGTGAACGCGAGGTCGTTCAGGTGAACGGAGATACCTCGGCGTGATGCATGCTCGTTCCCCGCGTTTCAGAGAATCGTCAAGCACACCGTGTACAAGACGAATCTGCACGTGGTTTGCACGCCCGTTCCCGAGGAGTTTCTGGACCAGAATGTGGTGTTTTTTCTCAGAAATACAAAAGGTACATTTCCGGTGCACGCGTGTGTGATTGTGGGTGTGTGTGCACGTGCCTGGGTGTGTGGGTGAGATTCTTAATTTTTACCCTTTCTTGAGAATATCAATTTTTATGAGTACGGTCAGTCCTCATTATTCATAGATTCCGTATTTGAAAGCGAACCTCCTCTCTCAAGATTATTCGGAACCCCTAAGTCAATACCTGCAGCATTTTCAAGGTCATTCAAGGACACGGGCAGAGGAGGAAACCCTAGAAGCGCATGTTCCCAGCTGGGTGGGACGAGGCGACACTCTGCCTTCTCGTTTTTGGCTCTCAATCTGAGCAAGAGTCCTCATCGTGGTTTTCACATTTCTGTGCTTTTCGTTGGCGATTTCACCGTTTAAAACGGCCCCGAGCACAGTGCCCAAGTGCCGTGATGGGCCTCACGGATGGCACGTACACGAGACGAGCCCCGTGCAGGTGTGAGAGCCGTCGCTGTTGGCTGCGAGGCCGGTGTTAACGAATCAACGGTTACGTCGAATAAGGCGTCTTTAAACTGAAACTCGCAGAAAGCAGGTTCTACACGGACGGTTGGTGAAAACGTTACGACCAGAGGCTCACGGGAACCTCACTCCGTGTTTCTCTTAGGAGCGACGGCTCCGGATTGGCTGATTCGGGGTCCGTGGCACGTTACAGGACAGAACCGAATCACGACAGCTGACTGTAGTAATCCATTCTTAGTTCTATTCGTAACAGTTGGAGGAAGATTCAAAGCGGCGTGACCCCGAGTCGTAAGACGAGCTTTGGCGGGCTTTCCCCGGGGGGCTGTGTGGTGTAAAGCAGCCGCTGCTCAGAGGCCACGGTCATCCTGCGGTAGCTTTTGGACCAGGTGCTCCCGACGAGCGTTCCTGCTTCGCTGGCCCACCCTGGGCGCCTCTGGGTTTTTCCAGCGACTCCCCCAGGGCTTGGTGCTCTGCAGTCTCTTCGGACCCCTGGCTCTTCCTCCTGCTGTACTCGAGTCAGGCCACCGTCCGGTCCCCCTGCCCGCACATCCCCTCCCACCCGCCATGGGCTGTCTGTGCATAGCTGCGTTTTAGGACTCGCCCTAAATTTTAGAAACAATGTCCCACTTTTTTTTTTTCCTGTTTTGAACTTTGACGGCTCTTTGGGTCAGGCGTTTACCTATAAGCAGTGAGCGTCTGTAATTCGTCTTCCCAAATGGGTGGGAATAGCAGAAGGAAAGGTGACGGACGTGCAGAGCACAGCATTCAGCAGCCTTGTGGTCCGTCCCGCCCGAGCCCATGCTTGCCACTGCCATTCCCATCGCAGTTCTCGTCCGTCCCCAGGGAGTGGGGACTCCGCTCAGCGCTTTCCCGTGTAGCAGCGTGGGTGGGGTGCCAGCAGCATCTGTCCTGGCTTTCTTACCGGGGGAGTCACTAAAAAAACCCAAGCGTTCCTTCTCATCCTATTAGTTATCGTTCACGGATGTCAAGCTCTCTTTCTCTCATGCTGGATTCTTACGCAGTTTCCCTTTAAAATAAATTTAAGTAAAGAAGCAGTTGGCAAAAAGAAGCGTGTTAAGCGAAGAGGAATAGGCGTCTGCACAGATGTGGGAAAAGACATCAAGGCTAAAGCGTGTGGAAACGGCTGCCTCGGTTGATACATTGTGTTTCCATGTTGTTTTCAAATTCTCCAAGTGACGCTGTAACACCGACCGCGCTGATCTGATCGCTTTTCGGGCGGGCGAAGTAAATGCACATCGAGCCTGGTCAGAAGGGTAGATAGAGGCTTATAGCATTAGCGTGTAGCTTTCAAAATCCCATGACGCAGAGGGACTTGGCAATGAACTAGGCAGGCTTCGATGGGGCGGGAGAGCCAGGCCCAGCGAGGACCCCGGCCGATTCCATTCTGGTCCTGCTTTGGAGTCGCCCACCGGGCCAGCTCACGCGTGTGGCCGGGGCGCCGCTCCTGCGAGCCCGTGACCCACAGAGCGTCGGCGTTTACTTCAGCTTCTTAAAGGCGGTGGGATTCGCTTGAGGAGAAATGAGCGTGTATTCCGAGTCTGTGGCTGGAACTTTTTATCTTTGTGGGCGCTACCTGGGAAGAAGGAGCTGATTCCTGCACCGTGGGAAGTGTTCGCTGTTTGCCA